TTAGTGATGTTATCCCAATTTATGGCTGCAGAAAGTAAAATTTAGATAAATAGGATAAAGTTTACTTTTTTTAGTTGCAAAAAAAGTGTAATATGGGCATTCTTTAACTAGAAGACGTTTCAGATGAAAATCTAGGGATCCTCAGCCAGTTGTTCACAAGGTTAACGAAAACCAAATACATAGAGAAGCTGCTAGAAAAGCTAATAGAGTGTTTAAACAGTTGTGTCCAGATTAAGGAAAGGGAGGTAATAGCCCTCTCCCATGTGCTGTGCTGGTCATACTTCCTCGAAGTAGCTTCCTAATCAGTATGTAGATAAATCCAGGTCATCATAGCATGTATTTAAAATGTAAAAAAAAAAAAAAAAAATTAGACATTTAATAAAAATTTAAATGTGGTGTAAAGTAAATAAAAACAGAAAGGGAAATCTTTGGGCATCTCAAAATTTAAAATAAACTGGACTGTCAAAAATTCAAAGTCCAGCCAGATGTGGTGGTATACATCTGTAATCCCAGCACTTGGGAGGCTGAGGCAGGAAGACTGCCATGAGTTTGAGGCCAGCCTGAACTACATAGCAAGACCCTGTCTCAAAAATAAAAAAATTTAAAAAAAGAAAGAAAACTAGATAGTCGGTATACTGGGTTGAAATAGAGAAATGTGCCATTTAAGTGTTTCAGTTGCACCTTAGTGAATTTATATTTTATATAGATTTTAGTACTGTTAAATGTTTTTGAATAAATTTTAGAAGATAGTATATGCTACAACTTACTCATTTTATTCAAATAATTTGAATAATATATGTCAGGCATAGGGCTAGTTACTTAGGAGACAACAGTGAGTGCAACAGGCATAGCCCCCATATAAGAGAGTTCAGAGCCTGGGGAAGATACACAATTGCTATCTCACTGTGAACTGAGGAGTCCACCAGACCAGTCTGGCCTGCTGCATCTAAGTATTGTAAGTTTTAATTAATTTCCTTAAGACGAATGAATGTTGTTGCTTGGGCCTAGAAAATGATGTAGTTGACATTCTGAAATATAGATTTGTACTAGAAATATGACAGATACAAAGATCCTGATATCCTAAATATGAAGTTCTACCAATTTATCATTTTTTAAAAATAAACTCCAGGCTCTTTTGTCGAGCTTCTGCCAAGAATGCATTCTGTACACAGTGGAGTCAAAGCTTAGATTCAGAATTGGTAACACAATGATCTTATATAATGGAAAGTGTCCCCTGAAAAATCCCTTACTTTCCCTTGAAGCATACAAGGTTTTATGTACAGCAGTATGTAAAAATATGTACTTTTATGAAATGTTATTAAAAAGGAGTCTCGACCACAGGTGATTTTGTCACTCCCATTGAAATTTTCAAACTAAAATTTTTATTACTCTCCTGGGCATAAAGTGGAATCAGGTCTTAATTTGTAACTTAATAATGACTAAGAAGATTAAACTATTGTATATGTTTGCTGGTCAGTATGTTTTCTCTGATGAATTACCTCTGCATATTCTTTGCCTTTGTTGGTTACATTAATACTAACGTCTTTTCCAATTTTTTAGCTTATCTTTTCATTCTCTTAATATTTTTGGTGAATATTTGTAATCAATGTTTTCATTTCTGATTTAAGTTTTTCATTTCATTTCTGACTTAAGTTTTTGTATAAGGAATTTCCCCTTTGTTTCTAAACCTTCTTTAATGTCACTCAGTGAAGTTTTATAATTTTCCTTAGAGATCTTATCACAGGCAAAAAATATTTTTCATAGTTTTTTTCTAATTACTATTGGTATTTAGAATTAAAGCTAGTTATTATTTGCTAATTTTCTGTCCAGTAATCATGGTAAACTCTTATTCTTTCTTTTGAAAGAGTCTTAGATTTTATATACACATAATTATGAATAATTTCAGATATGCTTCTTCCCAGATTTTTTGTTTTTGCTTTTTCTTTTTCTTTTTTTGGGTACCGGGGATCAAACTCGTGACCTTGCGCTTGCGAGGTAGGCACTGGAACCGTTGCTTTTTCTTGACTTACTGTGTTGGCTGCAACCTCCATTTAGTATAATGATCCATAGAGGTAGTAATACTGGAACATTTTAGTCCTATACCTAAACTCAAAGGTAAAAGTATCAGTATTTTACCATTAAATTTTGTCAGTTGCTGAACTTTAAGAAGTATATATTTCCCTTATTGGTCATCTCTATAGAGAAAGAAAAAACATTTCGTAAAATTCAACACTTATGATAAAAAAGTGAATAAATAAAGCCTAGAAGGAACATGCCACAACAAAGGGTAAATATGACAAATCCAGTCAACCTCCTACTAACTGGGGAAAAGTTGAAAGCATTTTCTCTAACATCTGGAATACAGCAAGATTGTCTATTCCCACAGCTCCTATCCAATATGGTAAATGTATTAGCCAGAGCATTTAGGCAAAAGAAATAAAAGTCATACCAACAGAAAGCAGGAAGTTGAATTATTCCTATTTTCAAATGATATGATTTATCTATAGAAAAAAGACTCCATGAAGACTATTAGAACTGATAATTGGATTTAGTAAGTTTCAGGTTACAAAATCAGTAGCATTTCTATACATCAATAACAAACTTGCTGAGAAATCATGAAAGTAACCCTGTTCACAGTAGCTTAAAAAAAAAAAAAAGTTCCTAGGAATAAATTTAACCAAGAAGGAAAAACCTCTACAATGAAAATTATAAAACACTAATGAAAGCAACTAAAAAAGACACACATGGAAAACCCTTCTATTTTCAGGTATTGTAAGTAATGTTAAAATATCCATACTTGAAGCTGGGCATGGTTGCACACATCTGTAATCCAGTAATCTGTTAACCAGCCACTCAGGAGGCTGAGGCAGGAGGATCATAGAGAATTCAAGGCCACCTCAAACCACATAATGAGACTGTGCCTCAAAAAGAAAATAAGTCCATACTATCTAAAGCAATTTATAAAGTCAGTGTAATCAAAATCCCAATGACATTTTTCACAAAAATAGAAACTCACAAAATTTATAAGGAAACACACATACATGCCCCTACTCCACATAGCCAGGGCAACTTTGAGCAAAAAGAACAAAACTAGAGGGATCAAAATACTTAATTCAAGACATACCACAGAGTTAAAGTAATTAGAAGTGTACAATCCTAAAAACAAACCCATGCAGCTACATTCAGCTCATCCTTGATGATGCCAAAAACATGCTGGAGAAAGTCCAATCTGTTACTCCTTATGGTGCATAGAAAACTGAATGACTATATTTCAAAAGATTTTAACTTGACCCCTATCCATCACTATACAGAAGTCAACTCAAAATAGATCAGAGATCTAAATGTAAAACCTGACACTCAAACCACTAAAAGTGGTCAAGACATTTACGGGCAGTTTCTTCTTCTTTCTCCCAACCATCCCACCCCCCAAGGATCAAACTCAGGACCTTGTGCCTACTGATTCAAATCCCTGGCCCAGCAGTTTTTTTCTTGACAGGACCCATAAGCACAGGAAACAAAAGCAAAAATGTCACAAATGAGATTACATTAAAATAAAAAGCCCTGCATAGCAGAGGAAACAACAGAATGAAGAGACAGCTTAAAATATGGGAGACATACTTGCAAATAATTGATTTGATACAAGGTGACTATCCAAAATATACTGTTTAAGGAATTTAAAAACCTTAACAAACTAAATCCAATTTTAAAATGAGCAAACGGTCTGAAGAGATAGTTTCTCAGAAAATACAAATGGCCACAAATATTTGAAAAAATACTGAGTATAATTATCAGGGAAATGCAAATTGAAAGTACAATGAAATAAACACATGCAGATAGACAGTTTAAAAGGATGGCAAGGACGTGGAGAAAAATTCTTATAAATACTGTTGGTGGAAATGTAAATTAGTATAGCCAATAGCAAACAGTATGGAGGTTCCTCAAGAAATTAAATCTAGGGCCAGGGATTTAGCTCAGTGGTTCCCGGCGCCTGCCTCGCAAGCACAAGGTCCCAAGTTCGATCCCCGGTAACAACAACAACAAAAATCTATCATATGCTCAAGAAGTCCCACTTCTGGATGTATATCCAAAGGAAATATACAGTACCAAAGAAGTTCCAGTACTCAAGTGTATTGGAACAGTATTCACAACAGCCAAGATACAGAGTCAACCTAGGTGCCCATCAATGGATGCGTGAAAAATGTGGAACACAAATGGAATATTATTCCACCATAAAGAGTAATAAAACCCTGTTATTTGTAGCAAAATGGGTGAAACTGGAGGACATTAAATGAAATGTCAGACATAGGACGTGTACTGGATACTTTATATGTGAGTGGGGAAATAAAGTCAATCTGAATATAAAATAATGATAACCCAAAGACTTGAGAACTGTGAAGGTAAAGAGTTTGGAGGAGAAAGAATTAAAAGAATCATACGACAGTGATATATGTGCACCCATGTTCATAGCAGCACAGTTTGTAATAGCTAAAACTTGGAAGCAGCCCAAATGCCCATCAACTGGAGAATGGATAAAGAAAATGTGGGATTTTTAAAAATAAAATTGAGTACTAAGCCATCAAAAATGAGAAATTAGAGACATTTATTGCTAAATGGATACACATTGAGGTGATAACCAAGTAAAAATAAATAGGACACAGGTGTAAATATCAAATAGTTTCTCATGTGAGAAACTGAAAGTGTAAATAAGGACTAAAAGGTATAATAGATAATGTGAAATAGGAAGAAAAGGACAAAGGGGAAGGGGAAGTGGGAGGGGTAGGGGAAAGCAAAGAAGGGAATGGAATGTATAATAGATAATGTGAAATAGGAAGAAAAGGCTCAAAGGGGAAGTGGGAGGGGTAGGGGAAAGGAAAGAAGGGAATGGAATTAATATGAGCAAATGAAAAAAAGGAAACAAAGTCTCTGTAAATAGAGAGGGATGGAGGGGTTGAAGGGAGGGCAGGGGAAGGGGGAAAAAAATAACCAAGAGCATATGTAAAGGTGCATATCTCCAATGATGAATGTCATATTGTACACCTCACCTACAATGTACCAATAAAAGGATATAAAAAAATAAAGGTTTGGAGGATAATGGGATCCAAAACACGCAATGAGTTCTAGTGTTCTGCAGCACAGTGATTTAGTATAGTTCACAATAACCTATTATGTATTTTTTGAAAAACTACAAGAGTAACTTTGAAGCCTCCACACATAAAGGACATAGGAGATACGAATGCTAATTACTCTGATGTGATAAGTACATGTTGTATACATGTGTTGAAATGCAGAGTACCCCATAAATATGTACTGTTACATCTTAATATTTTTAAAAGTTCAGTGGAGAAATAAAAAGATGAAGGGAGGTGGGAGAGGTGAGAAAAAAGCAAGTCTCATTTGGATTTGTGATACGTAGCTCTGTCTTGCATGACTGCACAAAGGAAAATAATATGAATATTTTTTACACTAAATGTATCTTTATTTAACTGATTGTTAGAATACTACAGTTTCTCAGAATACCAAGAATATTTTGTCTATTTTCTGTGACCACTGTATTTGGGCTAACATTTTGTTTCTTTTCAATCTTCCTGATTTAACTGGGCTAGATTCTGTGACAAGACTACATACACAAGTCATTCTAGTTAGCCTGAGCTGTCTCTTAGTTCCAACTGATGAATGCAGGGCTTGAAGGGCCACAGCTCAAAGAATAAAAGTACATTATGTTTATATTCCATATGTGGAGTTGGGTGTTAATCTAATAGAGTTTGGCTCTTTATAAACATTTTCATATAAAATACCATAGGGTGTTCCCATTTGTGCCTCTGATACATCTTGGTAGTCATATATATTTTTCTTTGCTCAAAACCGAAACCTAAAGAGCATGACAAAGGATTAGAAAGATGCCAGATGTGTAAGATAGACTCATTCAATATGCCATAGGTGCCAGGTAAGATCTGTATTCTTTTTTTACCACTCTTAGAACAATTATCTAGCTATTTTAACTGAAACCATAAATGTGACAGTTTTTCAGTTCATCCTTTCAACACTGTAAATCACTGTCCATTTCTATTTTTAAAAGGCTCTGTGGGACATGGGTTGGGGTTTTATTGAATAACTATATCTTTGGGCAGTTATTTAAGTTCCCTAAGTTTTGGTGACTTTGTCCATAAAATTGGGATCACAATTGCACCCTACCTCATGTTTTGGTGAGAACTAAATGTCCCGGTCCATATAAAGAATTTGGCATACTATATATATGGCACTTAGCAAGTGCTTTATAATTAACTATTTGCTAACAGTTCTTTATTCATGAAGAAATACCTTTTCCCACTCCAGAGCTAAAGTTCCCAAATCTGCTCTGGATTTGATCTTCTCTGGCTTCTTGAAATGGCACACGTTCACTTTCAGTGCCCATATCTTCAACGCATCATCCTCTTCACTGGCTTCAGTTATGCAAATCTCCACTAAAAATAATTTTCACTACTTCTGTTGTTCCTTCCAGCAACCATCCTGTATTTTTTCTTCCCAGTATTTTAGCTCAGTAATTTATATTATTATTTCCTTTTTGTACCTGCTATTCCTTTATATTCTTGATCTACCAGTGAAAAATCTGTGTGCTACCCATTGAGATTTCTATACCAAACACACAGACAACTCCTTGCCATTTAGTAAACGCAGCTATGGAAAACTTCCATAGGAGATCACCAACTCCATTAGTCCCCCAAAGTGGAAACTGCATGAGTTTGAGGAAGAGGCACAAGGCCAGTAAAAGGGCATTCTAAGACTGTGGGGAGAATGGAGAATGTAAGTGTAGGAAGATAGCCCAGAGGCAGACACTATGATCAATTTAGGCGTTCACTGTGATGGAACACTATGGGAGGCAGCAGGGTATGACACATTAGCTAATCTGCCTCACTTCAAATCCTGGCCCTCAGACTAGCTGACTTTAAGCATTCATAGAATATCTTCACTGCTCCTCTGTAAAGTGCAGATAACCTGTTTTGGTGGGTTGTTTTGAAAATCAAATGAGTTAATTTTATAAACCACCTCAAGATAGCACTTCTACGTTGTAATTGCTGTAGAAGAGTTTGCATTATGTTGTGTAGGTAATACGTTGGAGGAGTATCAGTTTGAAGGCCATTGTAGAAGTCTGTGAAAAATGACAGCACATTAGGCTAGGGTGGTGGCAGTGAATTGGAAGTAAATGATTGGGTGGATGCTAATGGTAGCTCGTGTTTATGGAGTATTTATTATGTGCCAAGCACTATTCTAAGTTTGATATCTACCTACCTACTTAAGTATTCATTCATCCTATTATCTCACAGCCTGTGAGTTAAGCAGTATTATTATTTTACAGATGAGGAAACAACTGCCAGCTTGCCCAGGGTCACCCAGTCAGAAACAGCCAAAAATCAAACCAGGACCACAAGCATAACCTATGCTTTACTGCTTCTCACATAAAGTAGCAAGGACAAAACTCAAACTCAAACCAAAACCATAATTAAGTTTCAGCTATGTTAGAATTAATGGTATGTCTCTCTTCTTCTCTTTCCTTCTCTTGCCTGTGCTCTCTGGCCTCACTGCTACTACCCTTCCCCTATCCTTCTACTTACCTATTACTCCCTCCCCAACTCCTAACTCCCCATCCTGAAGGGTAAAGTTCCTATATAGAAGAGTTTATCCAATATGAGTATATGTTGGGTTGGTCCTTGATTTTTATTTAATTCACACAGTTAAAGGTGATAGATTAATAACTACCAAAAATTGTCATTCTCTAAGATGTACTTGATGCTATGGTATTTCTGATTGTATCACTTGAGCTAAGGAATTTTGATTGATTTAATTAGTTGTCCTCCCTGGTATAATGAAAATGAGATAGCCTCAGAGCCATTAGAGACTCAAAACCTAAAGATGAGCTATATCTGGAAGACACCTCTGAGAAGCAATCATTCCATAAG